TGTCCATCTGTCCTTGTTCCTCTATATCCACACACCCATGTGTCTGTCTGTCCCTGCACCTCTATATCCACACATCCATGTGTCCATCTGTCTTTGTTCCTCTATATCCACACATCCACCTGTCATTCTGTCCCTGCACCTCTATATCCACACATCCATGTGTCCATCTGTCCTTGTTTCTCTATATCCACACACCCATGTGTCCATCTGTCCGTGCACCTCTATATCCACACATCCACGTGTCCATCTGTGGGAGATGCCCAGAGGAGCAGCTCTCCATGGAGTAGAAATGTCCCACCTTGGGGACACACAGAACAGCATCTGGGACAGCTGAGGTCACCTCACCCTCTCCACCACGTGCTCCTGGTGGGACCCAGCCCTTGGTGGCTTTGGTGTGATGAATTTGTCAGCTCTCTGTGCTGGGGAATGCAGAGAAGGAGCCACTGAGTGGTGCAGCTCAGGTACCTTGAAGAGCTTGGAGGCGTAGACATCGTCCATGTCAATGTTGAGCATCCTCAGCATGCTCTTCACCTCCCGGAAGGACATCTTGTTGTCCTTGTTCCTGTCTGCTCGCTGCAGGACCCCGTGGATCCAACTGCACCAGGCTAAGGAAACCTCTCAGAGTCACCCACAGCCATCCCCACCTGTTGCAGTGTGGTGGAATGGCCTGTTTCAGCTATCCCAGTTCCTCCCCCAGGTGTGCCAATACCCTCTCCCTTCCCCTCCCATTGCCTCCTGCTGAGGGCTGTCCGTCAATCTCGGTATGCCAGCAAGGGCATTGTGTGATTGGCAGAGTTCAAAAGATGCCTCTCAGCCCTGGGGACACTGGGCCATCCAGGTGTCATTTGTCCCCTGAGACTTCTCCCTCCTTACCTGGTGGGTGAGATCCCTGCCCCTCTCCCTGGGGTTAAAGGTCCCAGCAACCACACGGTTCTTGTTCTGTTGGAGCTGTTGCTGCATTCAGAGGCCTGAGGGCCAGGAATAAAGCTCTGGATCCAAACCCTCCAGCAGGACCCATCTCCTTTTCCTTCACCTCACCTAAAGCCTTTCCTCCAGAGG